GAGAGAGAGAGAGAGTTGCCAAGATGAACTCAAGCATCAGAAGACGAGCAAGGTGGAAGCACTTGGCTGGCATGAGATGAATACGAGGGGATAGGACAGGTCAAACAACGGCCCAGACACAGGAAAGCAAAAGATGGGCAAATATATCTAATTACAGTCACACGCAATTCTCAGCAAAGGCATTTACTTCCAACGCTGCTTACACCTACACCAACTACCATCATAGGATCCCATAGAGCATTATAACCCAGGCAAATATATTCTCAGTGCCACCCTCCCTCTCAAATCCAGGGTAGATATGTATTTGTGTTCCTATGTACATTTGGTCCAAGCCGACACCATTCTTCGTATACAATATTGACCAATCTGAGCCTCCCCCCCCCCGACTTCCGCTGATGTGTACCAAAACGAATCCAAAAGAACGCCAGAGTACTTGGACTCTAAGAAGAAAATGACCCCCTGCTGCTTTGTCTCGGGGTATCTTTGCAAGGAAAAACAAACACGATTGTGCTGAAATGCTAAGCAACGCTTCATCTTTCTGACGTCGACAACCTGTTTAGTATCGCTTGTTGTAGTCTTTTTTGCGTCGCTGTTTTAGTACCAAGACTTGGATAGTGGGCTAGCAATCTTGGGAGCAAACTGCAAGCTCTTGCGGCGAGCCGCCATTAGGCGCATAAGCACCTTTTCATCTTTATGAGAGCTCAGCATACCCATACCCACGCCCAACTGATCATAGACGCCGATGCCGCTCGACTTGGGCGGGCACGTCCTCATAAGCATGTCCTCCCGCGAGGGTGACAGGCGGCTGTCATTACCCTGCGATGGTGTTTCAGGCTCATTAGTTGCATACTTGGATATTGCCTCCGGGTTCGGCGTCTTGGGGACCGGCGTGAGGATAAACTCGGACCACTCGATATCGTCGCCTTCACCCTCCTGGCCTCCTGTCTGCTCCGGCGGCGTCTGCATCCAGATGCCGCTCTGGCGACGGTTATACGAGCTCGTCTGCTTCGCCGGCGTGCTGACCAGGGTGCCATTGTTGTTGGCCAAGGCCTTGGGCTCCATGCTCTTGCGACGACGGGCGCCGCCGCGGGGCACAAAGGCTGTGTCGACAAGGTACGGGCTCTCGTCGAGCCACTCATTCTCCTTTTCGCAATCGAGGACCCAGCTGACGCCCACACACTGCACGACACCATTCGACCGTCTGACCTTTTCCATGGTCCTTTTGCCGCCGTCTTTGAATACCACGTGCGTGATTCCGATTCTATTCGAAGACGACTCGGCGTGAGACGCACCGTCTGGGTTCCAGCTCCACGTCTTGACACACTTGGCTCCCATTTGCGTCAGCAGATCCACAAAAATCAGGCTGGCATCGGCTCCTTCGCTGGTATGGACATCGACAAAGACGACTGCGCCACGCAGGAGAGGCGAGCTGGCACCACGTCGGGGACTGCAGGCAGGGGTCCCCATGTTCGACCACATGTCACATTTGCTGGCAGAGGTCGCAGGCTCATGGTCCATGCCGTACACGTCAGAGCTCGTTTTTTCGGGAGAGTAAGAGTTGACAGTAGCACTCTTGGACAAGTTTCTGGTGCCATTGTGAGGGATACGCGAGGTGCTGAAGCGGCGAAACGTTGTTGGGCTCGACTCGTCCGCGGGCTTCAGCGGTACCTTGGTTGTTGTAGAGCAGTTTCTCATGACAGACCGCGCAGGTGTTGCCGGTGGCCACATGCGAAGGCCGTTGAGGGCAGGATCAACAGGAAGCTCATTCTCATCACCATACTCCTGGCTCGCTTCAGATAGGGAGTCGGAGAAAGACTTGGCCACGCCCCGGTCGGCACACGGACTCTCGTGCAGCAGCGACAAGTCCTCTGCTTCCTGCGCGAGGGCAAGGTCCTCACCAGTGACTCGGATGTCCTCGTCAAACGATGGCTCAGAGATTTCACCGTCTGCAATCTCGCCACTGTCTTCATCCTGCTCCTTCTGGGTCTGCATCTGATCCTCAAAGAAGCTCGTCTTCATGGGAGACGGTTCAGCGACCGGTACAATGGTCAAGGCACGCCGCAGGCCTGAGGCGCGCTGAATGGCCTCATTGGCGGGGGGTATACCTTCAGAAGACCAAGCGTTAAGCGTGTGAGCCAGACTTGTAAGACCCATAGTGGACCGCCTTTTCTTGTTGAAGCTCGGTGTGAATGTAGACAAGTCCTCGTCAAGGCCCAACTCATCGTCAGAGTCGGACATTGTCGTCATGTCGTGGCAAGGGTCGACATCCTTGTCTCGGAGCTGAAAGCTAGCACCTTGCGGTGTCGCTACCCGCAGAGGAGTAGTCACAGCTCTTCTGACCTCGGTCAAGTCAACCGAGCTATCACCAGAGCTAAAAGACTGGCGACTGGGCGTCATGTCGAGTCTCGGGGTCGCGGCCCCATCCACCTGCTCATAAAAGGAAAACGTGTGCACCAGCTCAACCTTCTCCGAGTCCTCATCCAGTCCCTCGTCGGCATCGTCGCGCGGCACCACGTCAGACAGCCGGCCGTTGAAGTAGGATTCGATGACGGGGTTCGCGAGGACCTCCTCCGGGAAGCGTTGAGTTGTTGGGTTTTCTTCAAACGTAAGCTTCTCGGCGGGGCGATGAGAGTCGGTGAGCACTGACGTGGATGCCGCAAAAGGTTTCATTGCAGGCGTCTCGCAAATGGCAGCCAAAGGTCCCTCCGACACGGGCTTGAGGCTCCGGGGCGCCGCACGTTTTGCGGGAGACTGAAACAACGATGCTTTAAAGGCGTCCTGGTTGCTCTGTGGTTTGCTGGTCAGGGGGAAGGCCCTGCCCTTAATGGGCGACGGGGGCCGCTTGGCCGGTGTTTGGAATAGTGCGTTTTTGGATGCTGCGCCCGTCTTTATGGCATTCTCTCTCGAAAAGGCGTTTGACTTTGTCGGCGAGCCTGGGAACGCAATACCGCTCATCTTCTTGGCCGGGGACTTGAAGGTGTCTCTGGTGGGTGATGCCGGTGGTCGCCGGGGAGGCGAGCCGAGGGCGACCGTGGTTGTCGCCTCGGGGGGGCCGAGAATAGCTGCATTGACCGTAATCGTAGAGTCTGCGTCCTTTTCAAACATGACCGGATCGACGCTCCTCTTCACCGGCGTCACATTGACCGGCTCCGTCGCCCCGTTCCTGCGGGGGCTCCCATCACCGGCCAAATCCTCCTCCAGGCGCAGTACTGGAATCTGTGTCACCTTACGCGGGCTCAGAGGCTTCTTCTTGTCCGCCGCAGCAGCGCTCATAGCGCCCTTGCTCGCCGGCGTTGGGGGCCTACGGGCCGAGCGGGCGAGCCGGTGGGGGTGGTCGGCGTCCTTTTCCGCAACAGCGACGCTCATGTTTTCCTTGTCCGGCTCGTCAAACTTGACACTCTTGTTGACGACTGGTTCGCTCACAGTGACTGCGGGGCGAGACCGCATCGCGCCCGTCGTGGCGGCGGTCCTCTTGGCCGTAGAGGCTGTGGATGTGGCCGTGTTTCTCCGTGGGCGGCCTCGCGCGGGGGCGGTCGGTCTGGCGGGCTCTTCCTTGGGAGGTTGCTCCACGGGCGATGTTCTCGTCGTGGTGCGTGTGGCGCGTGTGGCGCGTGTCGTTCGCGCAGGTTCGGTGCGCAGGGAGGCGGCAGCAACGGCGGCGGTGCCCGTGGCCCGGCGGGGACGGCCTCGTAGGCGGCGAGCGCGCGCCTCGCCCTCGTCGTCATCGTCGTCGGATGGCGACTTCCTCTTGGTCGCAGTTGTCATGCTTGCGGCCGCGGACCCGGCCGCCTTGGCCCTGGCGGCTGCAGTGACAATCTTGGTCGTCCTCACGGCGGTTGATGCATTGGCCTTGGCCGCGGCTCGAGCTCGCGTTATTCGTTTCGGCGGCGAATCCATTGGTTGAGATGAGAATTGCACGCAAAGGGGAAGCGCGTGCCCGCCCTGCTGATGGTTTTCAGAAAAGTAAAAGAAACAAGGCAAAAAAAGCAACAAGAATTCCAATGAGAAATGTCCAACGAGCTTGCGGTGCGTGAGCAACCTAGTCCATAGTTGTGGCTTTGTTGTCGCCTGCATCAAGCGTGTTTAGCTACATCTGTTGCTCGGCAACATGAAAGGGCCCACTTGATCAACATGACTTTCATCATCAAGGGGTGGCACTTGCAATCGATCTTGCTCTTGAACTTGAGTGTATTTTTGTCAAAAAAGTCATTCAACTGCCTCTTTCGCTCTGCTCGCTCTCCTCATGCATATCGATTTTCTCGGTGCCCTCCTCAACTTCATATCATCCAGAGCCGAGCTGAAGAACTGAACCCTGCTCATAAACCTATCTCAATATACCTGTTCATCATCATGTATTCCTCTATAGTTCTCCTTGATATAATTCTACACCCGTCCCGGCATGTGTTTATTCTTCCAACATGTAAAACTATGCAAATACTCCATCCGCGCCATCAACGCCGCGCCGCACCGTCTTCTGTCTCAGCCCTCGTTGTATACGTACACAAGAACCCCCCCCCCCCCTGTGAAACAAAAACAGTCGCTACTACAATACTGCAATGCAGGTCGCCTGTATCCTAGACTCAACACACAGACAAATTGTTTGCATCGTACAACCAGTTTGCTCACCACAATTCCCCAATAGCCCACAGCCGCGAAAATCTCATCGCCCTGGCCACACATAACTGACTATACATGATAAGCCGTGTAACCAGACAAAGAACACATAATTGAAGGAAACCAAAGGCAAGAAAGGGGAAAAAGGAAAAGCAACGGAAAGTGCCATCATTTGTCGTCGTCGTGGCCAATGCATATGCAACTCATCTGAATGGGGCTCTGAATGGACCATCCACTCGAACGTCCCTGGCAGTCTCCGGAATCAGTCGCAGCCATTCGTTCCAGCTCTCAACATCGACATTCTCGTCCATCAGTCGTACGTTGAGGCTAATTTGAGGCATACTGTCGTACGAAAAACTGCTTCGGTGGGCACTGTGCTGGTGCATTGGGCTCAAGAAGACCGACGGCAGCCTCGAGTTGCCGCTCACCATCATATGAAATGGCGTTGGAAAGCTTAAAACGTTTTCATTTTCGGGCTGCCGGTCTTGCACAAGCTTCGGGTATGCGCTCAGCAAAATAGCATGCAGCTCAGAGACCGAGAGCGGTTTTGCGCGACCAGCGCGTATCCTGAGCTGTTCCGCCAGTGCCTTTGTAAACGTGCATCGCCCAAGCGAGGCTACATGGTCCTCCGATATGGACGCCCCTAGAATTTCCATGACACCGTGCTTTCGGAGGATCCTAGAGCATGGATAAAAAGCGGCATCCATGATCACCAAGACATCAGAGGATGCCTGTTCCAGTGGCTGCTGTAGAGTGCTCCATCTCGCCATCGCGGCTCGTTCGAGATTTCGAGAGCTATTCCGGTGAGGACAGGTACGTTGGGGGTATTTGGGCGAGGACTTACCTAGCAAGACACATTTCTCTATTTTCGTCCAGAAATGTGTGCCCTGCATAATACACAATTTTCAACACATCGCGCCGGTCATCCTCCTCTGCAAATCTGTCGAGTGTTCTCGACAGCCATCTCCAAGTATCCTTGGCAAGTCCATACTCGGTTGAAGGTATCGTTTGTATTTGAAAAACGAAGCGGTACTGCTTCTCAAACACATCGGCTAGCTCTCGCGTCGCTCCATGTACGTTTGCTGCATCATCGTCGTCTTGCCATACTAGCAACAGGGCTCGGGCGTCGAGATATCGACCGCGGTTCGTGGCCGTCATCAGAATATTCGCCGTAGTCTGAAGGTCATTCCGAAAAGACTCAATACCAGGCAGTGAAAGGGATTTCTCGAGTCTTGGGCCCGATGGCAAAGGCGTTCGTATTCGTGGGTCGCTCAAAGATAGTCGGCTTCCATGGTGGGACGCAGACGACCCGGCGTCAATATCCATATCCTGTGTATCCGATGTCGACATTACCGGAGGCTCTCTCACAATTGCCACCGGGCTTGTTGACCCTCCGATATGTATCGATGATGGCGCAACATCTGACATTGCAGGACTATGTGAACGATTGAATTTATGAACAACATCTTCCCACGTCATGTCGTGATGGCTCGGATGACACTATTCGGAGACGGCAAGTCAGTAAAACATGAAACAAACATCAGATGCCGTCTAAAAGACTAGAATTCCAGCGCCTTGTTCGGGCGATGCTTTCTTCAAAAGCTACTCACGGCAACTCTCCGGCGGCGGCAATCGTTGCACGCTCCAAGCTTCCTGATCAATGCAGCCCGCTCTCGAGATTGTTGGGAAAGAGGACCAGTACGTCTCCTACTGGCGCGCCGGTTGTTAGAGACGTCGGATCCGTCTTTTATAGAGAAAATAGACTGGTGCAGGCTGGGGGGGGTGTCGGCACTGTACGATGTTGTGTTGGTCTCGGAGGAAGCCAAGGTAGCTGCAGTGGCTGCAGTAGCCTGTGTCGAGACAGAAGAAGCGGTATCATTGCGCAGTGGAGTGGCCGACGTCGCATAATGCACGAGGTGTACGGAGCCTGCAGAGGGTGTTGAGGGCCGATGGTGATACCGACGAGTTGCCTCGTCATGCTGCGATAGCATGGCAGGATGTGATGTAGGCGAAATGGACGCTCTAGCATCCATAGCCGCATGCCCTTGAGAATGCCCCTCCGTCGTACGAGGCTCCCTGGGATTCATTTCTGGCGGTACTGTCGTGGAATGTTCGGCTGAAGATGCAGATATACCGGGGATTAATTTCATGGTGGCGAGTAGCAACAACGAGGCGCGTGGTGTCAGCGGCCCATGATTGGCAGAGTGAGCTGTACGAAAACGGCCGAAATTTTCAAAATCAAGCTCAAGTATTTGAGTGAGCCACTCTGTGCTCTGATCATCAACTGGTCATCCAAATGGCGCCAAGTGTCGTTTGCGATTATAGAATAGAACTGGTGATGGCCAGCTAGATGGTTGATCGACCCTCGAGTTCGTTCCGGCTAGGGTGAACTTGTCGCGATTGAGCACGCGCGCGGGATGAATCTGATCCCTGAATAATGAATGAGGAGAGCCAGAACTGGCCCGACTATATAGCAACTTATCCCTCTCGAAGAGGGTGCCTCGTCGCCAAGGTGTATGGCAATACTCAGAAACCCCACCAGCACCCAGTGAATAGTAAGCAAATGCCAACTATTATAGTAGCAATGGTGACAGAAACGACAAGCCACGAGGGCTGGGACAGGATGGGGCGAAGAGAAGTCGTTTCTCGAGATATCGTGTCGATGGGAAAATATCCCAAATATGGCTGCAAAGTTATAGATACTTGATGCGGATAGGACTGGGTCGTTTTGGTGGTGGTTTGCTATAGCCGGAACCGGGAATGCACGGGGCGTTGTCTGACAGTAGACGAGGACGGATCTCAGCCCCCAGGAGACGGGATAGAGGGCAAACAAAACACGAGAGATGAAGGAGTGGTATGGGTAAAGATGTAGGAAGGCGTAGAGAGGAGGACAAATATCTTGTCCGCCGAGAGCATTACTTCTTTGGGCAGGCTGTCTGGTGGAGTGGTTCCCGGTCTGCTTGTTGGAGAAGAAGCTCTAGGTAGGGCAAACGGTCAGAGGAGGACGAGTCAGAAGGGAGGTGAAAGACAGGAGCAGGGAGCCGAGGAGCGATATCCGAGAGGAAGCACACAGACACACACAAGTTCTAGTGTTTGTGTGCGACAACAGCTGGCGTGGGCTTGTGTCGTATAATTGTTTGCATTGACAAAGCTTCGACTGGAGCTGGATATCGAGCCAGTAAGAAGGTAAACGGTCAGGTCAGCAACAACGATACCGAGCTAGTTAGCCACAGTACTCCCTACCAAAGAGGGCGCTTTGTCAAGACCGGACGTGAGTCGCAAGCAGCGGCTTAAAGACAGACCTCGGAAGGTTAGAGCATGATGGATTACACCTGAAATGGGGAGCTCCAGTTCCCTTCAGACGGGTCCGGCGGTCTGGCAGTGATACGCAAGAAGGTACAGAGTCAGTATGTAACTAACACCTCTCTCCTTCTGGAGAAGGTCCCCACGTACGACGGAGCGTACCACTGACCAGTACCTTCCCTACCGAAGAAAGCTGCATTGGGATGGGGTGTGTATGGATGTATGGATGTATGGGTGTATGGGCGTATGGATGTATGGACATGGCTGTATGAGCCCACCACTTAGCAGGCGGCGTTAGCCCGGTTCCTGCAATCAATGCCAAAGTAGGTTACTCGTCGAGCCGGTCGGGCTTGGGGATGGCGGCCTCGTGCATTCGTGGGTGGCATACAAATTACTGGTGTCTGCTTGCGTGGGCGGTCGCAATGGCAAGTGCTGTACAGACTGCCAGTGAATGGGTGTCCAGCTTCCCTCATGATTCAGCTCGTCTGCCCGCCTGCTTGTACATGGTCGGTCAACCAGTTTTTGCAGGCACAGTGACCACCTGGAGTGGAACAGGTTTGGTCAGGAATCTAGGGTAACGGCTACAGTTTGGGGTCGGGGATGCACGCGGCGGACCGTGGTTGTATGGTATGGGTTAGCGTTTTAGGTCCAGGAACAAGAGACAGGGCTCCCTGTTTGTTAGCGGGCGCTCTCTTGCCTCACGCCGCCCGCAGGGGCCTTTCGCGGCTGAAGGTGGTTTTCTAGTTAATTCTGTTCCATCATAGTTGGAAGCGGGATTTGATCCCAAGCCCGTGCTCGGTGCTTGTTCCCTATCATCTGCGTCAAATCATCTCCTAATAGTCAGTCAGCACGAAGCGGGTTGACGTGACTGTGACCACTGACCAGCCAGCCGGGCTCGGTGACGGCACTGACGGGGCTCTGGTACGGTAAACCCTCACTGCCGGCGGCAGAATGGCCTGCCCCTCACACATGTGGCTCAATCAGCGTTGAGGAGGAGGAGGAGGTGTTTAGCTTGAGTCCATCGAGACACCCCTCCTCCTGCTCAGTACATTGTCTGTACGGGTCGTACCAGGACGTGGTATCAAGTGCGCTCTGCCAACGGGCATCACTCCCTTTCGGATGATTATGGCAGTAAGAGCGGTTCCATAGGGTCATGGCTGTGACGAAATGCCAAGAAGCACCAACACTTTCCTGGCCGTCATGGGGAACCAGTCGCTCGTGCTTGCCAACTGGGGAGGCGAAGCCGGAGGCGGTTTCTAGCTCCGTCCTAATAACACTAGCTCGTGCTGCTGGTGTTTTGGAAGGCTACGGGAAGGTGAGACCGAGACTAGTGTGGCGCCATGCAGAGAACCTGGGGCTGCTTGGACCGGAGGATGCGCGGGTGCGGCGATTCCTGCATGATAATGGCTGGCTGCCGCTATTTCACAACCTGGCCGCTTGTTGCAGACTCGGCCAGCTGCGCCGTCGTAGATCTTTGAGCATCGTGGCAGCCCCATCGGCCCAATATGCAGGCTCAGAACGGAGAATAGAACATGGCCATGCCGTGGCCATGCATGAATCATGTAGATGCTACCGCGTCGATGGCGCTGGTCCGGGAATTCCGTGGGCTATGGAAGAGATTTGATGATGCGGGAGAGGCGTTCAGCTAGTTATTGCACTTGTTGCACTTGTTTATCCGAGGCTGCAGCCGGTGTTTGACGTGCAGGCATTGTATAGTTTTTGGAATGAGCACTTGTTCCTTCCCAATTTGACAGGAGGTGTTTCATAGTGCCCACTATTCACTTGTCAATCGACGAATCGCCAATAACGAACGCTCCATGTCTGAGAAAATGCTTCACTTGATCTAGTTACTAACGAACTATGCCGATGCAAAGACAACCAAGACTCAACCGTTGCACGACCGACCAGATCCGGGTTGTCCCACCGTTTGACCCCAAACAAGATGATAAGGTCCAGGTATAGGGTATACAAAACAAACGCCTTCGACCAAGAGCTTTAAATCCTCGGATATGTTGCATATGAAAGACGATTGGGGTTGCTCCTGTGGCATGCAGATGGAACCGCCTTGTTGACGCCATTGCTAACCAGGTCCAGCTGGCTACCTAGCTATCCCTGCCAGTAATAATAATCTCCCGTGCGAACTTTGTAACTAGTTATGGAGAACCGACCAGTATCGCAGAAATGATTACTCTGTAGATTACGAACCAATCTTACTAACTACCATGTAATAGCTATCGCAACACTCACAACTACCCCGCCATGATCCATCATGATCATGGATGGCTGTCCTTCTCTCGTCTCTGGATGCCACCCCATTCACCAACCTTGTGACCGAGATTCGCCAGTGCTATAGGCCTTCGCTCCACCTCGCCTCTCTTTTCTTCTGACATTGTTCGTTGGCAGTTTGCGGCCTCTGATAGGATAGCTCGGCACATGGCAATCAACTCGGCATGGACAGCCACACGCCGACAAAAAGGAACCACCAACAGGCTTCGCATATGTATTCTGGCTCGAACGACTCCATCTCCATACTGTATCGTCAACAGGCAGGTGTTCCGCACGCACCCCTGGCCAGCCAATCATGAACCATTCTCTGAGCGCATCATTCTGTATCATGTATCCGTATCTTTACCCCGATGCCACCACCCTTGCACAGCCCAGCATCTGTAACCACGGTTGCGCATGCGTGTGCTTGTGCCCTGCAGACAAGGCCGATGGCTACAGGGCAACACCTGAACAATCCAGGACGCAGGCGAATTGGCCCGAGGCTATGCTCTCATACCAATCAAGAGTTTGGTGTCCTCCCGGGGCCCTGTCCGGATTCCAACAATGACCGTTTTGGCCATCGGCCACCTCACCACTAATAAATCGGTTCACATCGTGTCGCCGAGAGTCTACTGGTAACTAATAAAATGAAATAATATATAATAGTACCTAACCATCTTTGTCACCTTGAAATGGACGCACCGACCGCATGTTCCTCCACCCATTGTTGTAGAATTGTCTTGACCAATGCCCGGCCAAGATGGTCCCCCCGCCGGTCCGTTCCAACAACCTCCGACGCCATTCTTGAAGCAAGCATTCACGACAGAACGCGACTTGACGCCTGTCGTGTTTCACCCAAAAGTCGGCCCCTGGTGGAGAATTCTGGATTTCGCTTTATTATTATTATAACTATTATAAACTAAATAATTAGTAATTTATGAATTCGTAGCTTGGTCGCTTTCCAGCAGCAGGATCTGTGATACGCCCCCAAAGCCCCCCCAACTGGTCGTTTCGGCTGACACTTGGCTGTAGGAACTATTCCCTAGGCTATATAGGCTCGGGTGCCCTCAAGATTCAAGATTCTGTGAGCAGCGCAACTGCCTGAGAGGTGACAGCCAACTGCCATTGCTGGATTACAAGCGCCTCATCACTCGTCACACGCTCTCGTATACCTGATTCGGTTACAACCGAGCTAGCTGCCTGTCTCGATGCCAACCGGACCGCCCAGTTCGTTTATTTTATATAGTACATGGAGGTTCCTCGCCCACATGATGATTCAGTCCTCCGCTCTTGCCATGACAATGTCCGCAGGCCCTGACTTGGGCATCAACGCCACAGCACAAGGCGTCCAATCCTGTAGTTACCTCGCATACACCCCCAAATAGCTTGCTTTAAAATGTTCGCTGTTTCTGGAGGCTTGCAGGCACACACACGCGCGCACTTTATTATTCTCTCACAGCCCGCCCTACCCGCTGGCACTCCTCACACCAGTTCCAAATAGAGGGCCATAGAGGGCCTATCAGTGCCACGTCTTCAGCTACAGCGGACTTCGGTGCTAATTAGTACGGAGCAGTATCCTGATGTAGTATGCGGTCTCGCTAGCCCCTGGCAGGGATAGGCCATCGTCGTACCCACGTGGCGCTCCCGAGCCCGTCTTCCCCCACCACACCCTTATTATTAGTTACTGTAGACTGAGGAAGCCGTCATGGAACATCATGGCAGGGGGCACGCCGGCAGGCTTATTTTTGTTCCATCAGGGCACGAGCGGGAATGGAAGCCTTCTGAGCCATCCATTGCATCCTGCACCGTGCTCAGCTTGGCAACCGCTGACGATGATCCTGGCGGGTTGTTGAGCACACCAACAGCAACCAAGCCACTGCCGCCTTGACAATTCAGCTGCTAAATACCAGGAGCATTGTCGCATTCGCTTCGTTTTCGTCCCTGCGCTTGCATCGACCTTGATTAGAGTTCTTTGCTGCTGGGACCATTGAGCAGGAACTCTGCTGTCAGACGCAGGCAAGGCCCATGATATCCTCGCCATGACTCTAAAAATATAACAAGGTTTATTAGATCAGGGCCCTAAAAAACCAAAGCGCACAGAACCTTTGCGGCGGGCGCTTCAGGCGAACCGTTTTTTAGCGAAATGTATAATTTGTCCGGATACCCTTTGATATTCGGGTTTGCCGCTTCGCTTCTTCCTCTTTGCATTGAGTCTTGAAATTTGATCAGACTAACCAAGCCGGGGGTAACAGGAAGAGCGAACTATAAATTAAGAATTCGTTAGTAATAAAAGAAAACTGGTAGTATGGCATATTCACGAAAGGGGAAAAACGTACCGAGTTGAACAATGGAGGAGGATTAAGACTGGCAAAAAAAAAAAAAAAAGAAGAGAAATTCAAAAGATGAATTGATGAGTAAAAATAAATTTATATTACAACCACAGCCTCACCCATGACCATGTCCTACTGGAGCGGCTGCCGTCCGTACACCGATTTCGTTGCGCCTGTCGTCAATCAGCCTCCCCCACTCCATCAGCAGACGGGAGAGGTAGAGCTCCTGGTCGCGCTCACGGAGCGCCTCTTTGGCCCAGAACTTGCCCTGCTGCGCGATGCCCCGCGAGTCCATGACGCCGCTGCTGCGTCTATCCTCGAGCACGGTAAAGTACGAGAGCGTCGTGTGCAGCGCCTGGTAGCGCACGTCAAGCGGCGCAAAGTGCACCCACGGCGCGAGCCGCGACGTGTACCACGTCTTGAAGATGGTAGAAATCACAGGCAGGGCCTCGGTGCGCAGCGTACGCCGCGTGCCGGGCGCGGGGCCGTCGTCGTTGTCCACCAGCAGCACAATTTTACTGTCGCCGGTGGTATCCTGTCGGCGCGTGTCGGCGTCATCACCGAAGAGCTGCTTCACGGTGTCGCAGTCGTGTCCGGCGCAGGCCGTATAGTCTGAGAGGCCGACGTCGAGCGGGAGCTTGCTGTTGACGGCAGCGGTCGACCGCTTGGCGTATAGCCACCGTCGGACCTCGTCCACCATAACGGGCTTGATCAGCGTGGTCTTGTCTGCTGTGCGCGGCCGGGTCAGCTGGCCCAGCAGCCGCAGCTTGTGGTGGCCGCGGAGGTACTCTGGTGTGATGGGATTCTGACCGATGGAGCCCGCCCACGAAATATTGTCTGATCGGTCCAGAAACGGAATATCGGGCGCGTCTCCATCCTCTCCCTCCCCCTTCCCCGCTGCATCGTCGGGCCACAGCGGCAGCAGCACGTCCGCAAAGTGCGCCGTCTTGTAGAGGCTAAAGAGTGGCAACAGCTTCTGCACAGGTCTCACGTCAGGGCCTGCCATGTAGAAGCCGTGCAGGTTCTTGAGATCGGGCTGCGCGCAGAGCGAATCCAGCGACGCGTGCCAGTCTGACATGAGCTGCAGGCTCGAGTGCAGCCCCGCGCAGCGCCTGCAAAACCTGGCCGTGTCCCACCAGGGATTCGCGCGCGCGGCGGACTTGGGCGGGCAGGCCTGCCGGAGCATGGCCCGGAATTCACCTGCCGTCAGCGCATTCTTGTCAATTCCCGATCCCGCCAAGCCCCCCCTTCTCTTGTCGAGCGCAAGGGACTGGTTTACGGCTGCTGCTGAAATGCCGGCCTGGCGGGCAGATCTTCCCGTGATGACATCAGCAGCGGAGGCGGCATCCTCTGACGCGGCGGCGCGGCTGTAGGACCACCGGGCCTCCCAGCGGGGTAGGACCCGAGGGGTCCGGGCCAAGTTGACGGGAAGAGTCATGTCGGGCAGGTGGGACGAAAAGTTGTTGGCCATGTGCACGAGGCGTGTGAGGATTTCCGTTCCAGCGTCGCCCGCATCATTGCGCTCGATGGAAGCCGCGCCGTTTTTAATGACGATTGACGCCACGTCGGGAAGCTGAGCGGCCTCTTGCACGGCCTCGCGTAGCTGCGCTGGGGTGAGGTGCCAAAAGGGTGCCAGATCCTCGTCGATTTGTGCAAAATTGTCCCTGATCTTGCTTCGGCGGAGTTGGGCATACCACTCCTTGTACTGCGGGGGCGCCTTGCGGCCCCCGTGTCGGTCTTCGTAGATTCTGATGGCGGTGCTCGAGGTACTGCTAGTCGAGGCCTTGACGAGCCAGTGTCTGTGGCTGATTGCACTGTCGTACAAGAGTTGGTTGATGGGATGCCGATTGTCGTACAAGGGCACATTGACCAACAAGGCGTAGACAGTAGCCATGAGAGCGATTAAGAAGATAATCCAGTTGAATAACCCGCGGGGAAGATGCACAACAGTTTTAAGATGCTGCGCGTAGGTGAATGTTATCGTGGCAGCGGCTACTACAAACAGAGGGAGTAGCACGGGAGCCCGGAGGAGATAGTCCCATTCACCGTAGCGGCAGGCGTTCACGGTTGCTTGCCATAGCCCCGCCATGGATGTTGAAATACCAACTGGTCCGGTAAGATTTGTATCGGATATCCATAATGAAGCTGAAATCACGAGGACCGACAGCACTAGGCCAGCTATCATGATGTCGTAGCTGTATGGAAAAGCGACGTCGCCGCTGGTGTCTTGCACAGGTTTCCATATAGATCGAAGGGTGTCAAACACAAAAACGGACAAGGCGGCGAGCGCAAGTACCTTTGCGATGGTTTGTACGCGGTCCTCGGCATGTTTGCCCCAAATCAATTGCTGCCAGGACAGTACAGCAATAGTAACATCGAGCAGGAGCATTCCTGTCAGGGAGTATGAAACTAGGGAGGGACTGTCAATTGATGGGATACACATATAAGATGACGGGGCAGATTGATTTGCTGCGATACTGGCAGCGACAGCAAATAGGAAAGATATGATAAAGTGGTTGACGTAGCGCATCCTGTCACTTTCGATCCACGACATCCAATCATGAAACTCGCTATGCCACGGGTCATCGAAATCGCCATATCTGACATCTTGAAGCTTGTCTCGACAGGATATATATTGGTAGACGACCAGTGCAGGCCAGAGCCAATACTACTTCCCCTGTGATTAGCTCTCACGCGAACGACATGCACCGGGGACGTGCGTACCTCAAACCCAAAAGAGCTGCACTGCTGCTGCGTCTGGACAAAGAGGAAAAGTTCGATGCGTGTCGTAATAGCCCATACCAGCACGACTACGCCCCATCTGCCAGGGCGGTTTGGACGAGCCTCTTCCAAGCCGTTTCGTGGGCAAAGTTCGTCGTCATCAAGGACGAATGCCGACTTGCGGTGGCTTCGGCGAGTATTGAACAAGGCATCTATAAACGGACTTGTTTTTATGTAATGGGAAATGATGAAGCAGATTCCAGACGATAGGAGCAGAAGCAAAATAGCAGATAGATGCGGTCGACCTGCCAGACATAGGTTGGTGTATGAGCTAGGCGGTAGGGAGGGAGGGAGAGCGTCTTACTAGGCAGAGAGTGATTTTCCCACGCCCTAGAAAATAACCACAGTGACGTGATTGTACTATTCCAATAATTCTTCAGTTTTGTCTGTCAAATTGAGTTGATGGGTTGACGTCTCTAACCAGATAGGCGCGATGTGCACCAGAGAAAACGCGTGCATGGTGGGTTGGTGCGGTTGGTGCGCAGAGGTTTCATGAGATAGATAAGAGGATCATGGCGTGACGGATTCCATAATCGGCAGGGAGCAATCAGCTTGTCTCAGACAATGGAGAATTGTGCGCTTGCTGTTAAGATCTCGGATGAAAAAAGGGTTTGAGTTTGAGATGTAGTTATTCAGGGGGTTATGTAATCGTCCCTTTACATACCTAGGTAGGTAGGTAGCACTTGCGTCACTGCCGCCACTCCTCCTCGAAGCTCCATCGGGCAGTTGCCCTCGCCCTCAGCTCCAAACCCAAAACAAAATCCGCATTGCCAATCGAAAACCCCCGTGATGGCCGGTATTGCGGACGCCGGCATCGTGCAGCGGGTGGCCATCCCCGGCGTGTGCCTTCTCATCGCCTTTCTCGGCTACTTTTCACAGTACATTCTCCACGACGAGTTCCTCGCCCCCGGCCCTCCAACCACCGCCGAGACACTCCTCTTCAACGCCTTGCTGCTCGCGCTGTGGTGCACCTACGCGCGCACCTGCACCGTCGACCCCGGCCGGTACACATTCCCCGAACCAACGGCCCCCGAAGTCAGCAAGGGCGGGCGGTGGTGCAGCAAGTGCGCGGCGCCCAAGCCGCCGCGCGCGCACCACTGCCGGCACTGCCGGCGGTGCGTGCCCAAAATGGACCACCACTGTCCGTGGACGGGTAACTGCGTGTCCATGACGACGTTCCCGCACTTTGTCCGCTTCCTCGTCTACGCCAACCTCGCGCTGCTGTGCCTCGGCTACTTGCTGCTGCCGCGCTTCGCCGCGCTCTGGGCGGACCGCGACCTGCCGTCGTACCTAGGCCCGGGTGTCGGCACCCTCGTCGCGCTGGCGCTCCTCGCGCTCGTCGGTGGGCTGACGGCGCTACTGCTCTTTATCATGCTCGTCACCACGCTCCGCGGCTGGGTCCTGAACCAGACCATGATTGAGACGTGGGAGCAGGACCGCCACGAGACGCTCGCGCGGCGCGGTGGCGGCCGCGACTGGTGGGACATTGTCGGACCCGACGGCGCACCGGTGCGCTTTGAAAAGGTCGAGTTCCCGTACGACGTCGGCTTCTTCGCCAACATGGCGCAGGCTATGGGCACGCCCGCCTTTGTGCTGTGGCTCTTCCCGCTCGCCGGCCACCCGCGCGTCTCACCGCCGGGACAGCGCGGCAGCGTCGGCTGGACGTGGCCGGAAAACGGCTTCAACCGTGTCGAGGGCATGTGGCCGCCGCCCGACCCGGACAAGATTCGCCGCGCAGCCCGGGGGGATCTGGCGGCAACGAGGCGCGACTACGAGGGCGAGCTGCGCGCGCTCGACGCGGACCCCGAAGCACGCAAGAAGGCGTTTCAGGAGCGCCAGGAAAAGGACCTGCGACGGAGGCGTAGGGCTCTCCTCGCGGAGCTGGAGGAAGCGGACGGCGTGTCGGCCGAGGACAGCGACGGCGGCGACGACACGTATTCGGACGACGAGGCGGATGAGTGGGCCGACGGTGACGGCACCGGCGAGAAGCTGGCAGATTTCGGCGTGGATGAGGACGAGGTCGACTATGACTATACACTGACGCAGACGGACGAGGACGAGGACGTTCCGCTAGGTGAGCTGCTACGGCGAAGACGAGCACAAAAAGCAGATCATGAGGAATAGTGTACAAAACAGTTGCTTACACGGCAAACAGCGTTGGAGAAAACATGTACAACACAATTGCATAGTAAGGAGTTGCAAGAGATAATCGGATGGGTGCTGGACGTTCTTGAGCATCTACATCCCAGGGCGTTTAGCGTTCGAAAGTAGAAGAACAGATTACATGTAATCACTTTTTCTAGGTTGGCGATTCATATTGCATAGTAACAAGCATCGCCATATTCTTTGTAATTCGAGTCGCTGACATCTGTGTCACGACTTTTGTTTCCCAAATGTGCAAAACTCAATCGAGACGTATACACTGACCGTCGCTTCTTTTATTCGCTCTTCGTCTATCAATCTCTTTCTCCTCTCCCCGGTTATCAACGTATAAGAAAAGAATCCTCTACTACATACATACAAAAAAAGTTTCCCTGTTTCCAGGTAAAAGACATAATCATTCATCAAGACATGGGCCAGACCAGAAAATGCGCAAAGTTTCTCCGTACTCCAACTTTTCTTCACCAGTCCTCGTCTTGCTCGCGCTTTTGCATGGCATTCTTCCTCGCCAGCAGGGCATCCGCCAAACTGCCGCCGAGGCTGGGCGTGGGCGTGTTGCTGCGGCTCGTGTCAGACCCGCCTGCGCCGTTTAGGCTCATGCCCGAGTCGCGGTGGGACACATCCAGCTTGCGAGCAGCCGCCGGTCGCTTCGCGGGCGGTGCAGGCGGCGCGGGCTTGGCCCTTACGGAAGGAGGCGGTGGCACAGAGGCTTGCTCTTCTACGTAGGCAGCGGGCACCCAAGCCTGGCCATCCGAGTTCTTTCCCAACCACCATCCTATGAAATAGTCAGTCTTTGTGAGCTCACATGAGCTAGTGGGGGTGAGGGCGCACCGTTATTTTCCTTTTGCACAATCTCAATCAGTTCGCCGGCAGCAACGGTGAGCTCATTATCCCTGCTTCCAGCAAAGTCATAGAGAACTTTGGCCATAATCTTGGGCTTCGTCGGCGGAGCGGCAGGGGGTGGGGGAGGCGGTGCTCTGCTGGCACCGGAGCCGTTTCTTGTATGGCTGGGAAGGACCTGCTGGAGAGCGGGTTGGGCCGCCGGCTTTCGAGCAACAGGCGTTGGCACGACGGCGGCGACCGGAGTAGAGGCGGCGGAAATGGCAAGGGGTGGCTGGGGAACCGAACGTCTACCTGCAGAAGGGAGAGGCTGTGCTTTTCTGTTGGTCTGCACTCGTGAGGGGCGTCCGTTCGGGCCGCCAGGCCGGATAAGCTTGCCACGAGTGATGGGTCGCGGAGGAACTGGCTTGCCCTTTGGTGTAGGCCGTGATGAAGAGTTGGGGGGCTCTCCACGTGTGGTATGGATAGAACCACTCTTGTAAAAGTCGGCGCGCTGCTGAGAGTCCTTGATCACCTTAACCTGCTGCATCTTGTTGGGCTTTTTGGCGTATTCGATGGATTCGGCGATCCTGAGGTTGAACCCGCCCGGCATGACGCGCTGCATCTGAGTAAACAGCTCGGTCTTCAGAATACAGTTCATCAACGGATCGGCCTCCTGGGGAGAGCCGATACCCAACGAGAACCAGTCGTCCTGCGCCGCCGAGGCTCCGATGAACTTGATGGCACCCAAAGGAATAGCCTTTTCTACCAGAATTTGGGGTTGCCCACTAACAAGCGCTTGAACAATCACGTAGAATTTGCTGTTGGTAACGATGATGAGTCGAGGGCTGGGCTTACTGGAGCGACCAAATTTGGCTTCCAGAATCTCGGCGCGGCAGGAAAAGACTGCTCGCTCGTTTGCGGCCAAGTTGGTGGCTTGCCTGACTTGAGCACCAAAACCGTTTGAAGCATTGATTCCCAGGTAATCTCCCAGGAAGCGACGGGAACCGAGAACACTCATCCTGCGACGCTCCTTGCGACCCTGAAGTACGCGGTGTCCTTGGTCACGCAGCTGCAAGTACTCGGCACCGGTCCTCTTCTTGCGCCACACCCGTTGAATACGAGTGGCACTTTCGGCACGGTAGGCAAGATACGCTCTCCACATTCTCTGGATACGAGTGGCCATGTTGTGCCAGTATCTGTCTCTCATATGTTCCAGAGCAAACAGTGTCTCGGGCGCCTTGATGAAAGCCTTGGTCACACCCAATTGCCATTCTTCCTTGGGAATGCTCGTATCCTTGAGAATCTGCTTAACGGCATCCTCATATGATCCCTGCCAAGTATACTCGCCGGCATAGGATGTAGCTGGAGATAGCAGGAAGAACCGATCAACGAATTTGTCAAAAGATTGACGGTAGGCAAAACCAGCGCGACGAATGCGGACGTTTTCTTGTAAACCGAGGTATTTGACTTGGTGAAGGACGTTGGGACTGTTGTACTCGGTGGGCGACTTGTTCTCGTTGGGCTTGATTGTTCGAATGTATGAAGGCTGGCACTTCATCAAAGTCTCTACCAGCGCGTTGGCCGAGGAGCGAATTCGGTCACCAGCCGAAGGAGGCTGCTTGCGATTATCCTGGTCGACCTGCTGGGGGAAGAGAGAATGTACGAATTGGTTACCACTCTTCTGGAACAAGTTGAGCAGACCCTTGAGGAGCTGGTCCTTGTTCTTGTCCGTGATGCCATCAACCGTGTAGGCCACATCACCGGCGTAATGCTTAATGATGAAGTTGCCCTGTCGAGGCGTTAAATGGGCGTGCGACATGCCATTAATGCTAGTCATGAAGGTACGATCGCAGGCAGCGGGATCAGCGTGTGCGGTCTTGGTGGCATCCTTCATTGCGGAGAAGATTCCAGGGGGGCGGACCTGCTCAATCAATTCGCAGACGACCTTGTTGTCAAAGTATTGAATCGGCGTCCATTGAATCTTCTCACGGGCATATTCTTCTTGCTCCGTCTTCAAAGTCAGCTGAATAAAAATCTGCTGTAGCTTTTCGTTGACGTAGTTGATGCAGAGCTGCTCAAAGCTATTCTTCTCGAAAATCTCGAAGCCATAGATATCCAGAATACCGACGGCGTTGGCGGTGGCTTGTTGAGACTTCAGCGACTTGTTGATGCGGGCCACAATCCAGTCAAAGAGGTTGTTGTAGAGGGCCATGGCCAAGCCGTCACGAGTCGAGGTCGCCTGCGCAGGGTTGGCGGGCGACTCGATAACTTCACCGCTGCGAGGGGTAAGAATGCGGATGGTTATGGCTTTGATTAGCTGTTCTGGAGTAGTTTCTAGCAGGTAGGCGGCAAAGTCGACGACAGAGCTGTCACGTACTTCTGCGTTGCCACTCTGGTCCTCTTGGAACTGAATGTTGCCGATCCATAGAATGGTGGCCAGCACGCGGAAGACCTCGTCTTGTTCTGCTTGCGAGAGGCCAATAACCTTCATCGCGTTGAGAGTATCTTGAAATTCGGCCAGATCGTCAATGCCGTCGACCTCGAGACACTTTGAGCGGCTGGTGTACAGATAGGTCTCGGGTTTTTGAATACCAAAGAGCTCTTGGTACTGGCGAGAAGCGCCCTTGGTGAATTGGTAGAAGATGTGGAAGTTTCGCTCGTTTGCTATCTGTCCGACGACACGGGACTTTTCGAGTAGGTAGTTGGTAATGTCGGCACCAACAGGCTCCCCTGTGGAGTTGAAGTAGATTTGGAGGTACTTCCCAAACCGCGAGGAGTTGTTGTTTCGAAGCGTCTTGGCGTTGCCGAACGATTCCAGCAAGGGATTGGTGGCCAGCACCATGTCCTTGATTCTTTGGATATCTCCTGACTGCCCGCCGGAGACATTGGCAATGTACTGCATGATGCGTTTGGCGGCTTCGGTCTTTCCCGCACCCGACTCCCCGGAAATAATGACGCACTGGTTCTCGTGGTAGGCCTTCATATTGTAGTATGCGGATTCGGCAATGGCAAAGACGTGCGGGGGCATCTCCAGGCGGTTCTTGCCGCGGTAGCTGTCGAGGACCTGGTCGGTGTAGATGCCTAGGTCGCGGAAGGGGTTGACCGAGACCAAGACATGACCGATGTATGTGTAGATTTCGGCGCCCTCGAACCGCTTCTTGAGGTTCTCGTTGATGGCTTCGTTGGACACTTTGCTGAGGAGGGTCAGGTCAGAGACGCCAATCTCCTTCTTCTTGGTGGTGTCGAAGGTGGCCTTCTTCGGTTTGGCGGCGCTGCCGCCGCCGGCCTGCTGAGCATTGCGGGCGGACTTGTCCTTAGGACGCCGTGAGATACCCTGAGAGGCGGGATCGCGGTTAGCGGGGGAAGCGGGAGAGCGCGCGGGGGTTGCGCATGCGCTGGCGAGATCCTACCATAGTTGGGTGAGGCTATAGCGAGGGGGAGAAGGGGAGTTTCGGAATGGAAACGCTGTCAAACGACAACCATGCAACAATGAGTCTTTATTTGCGACGTATTCAAGAAGAAAAGTATCACGATGCACGCGCAACAGAGAAGAAGGAGAGGAATCAGGCAGGATGCTTAAGATGGGAAATGCAAGGTTGGTTGGTGGGCTTGAAGAAGGGCGGCGGGCATCAAATCGGGTGCCTGGCCCGACGAGAGCCAGTGACGAAAGACTTGGCATCGTTGCAGACGCCGACCTTTTCCCGCCACAGCGGCACCGCCTCAATGCCACGCAAGTGGCGCGCCAACTACCTAGACACAGCTTACGCAACGAAAGTCTAGGGCATTAGGAGCGACATCATGAAGAATGTAATTTTGCAATCCTGCAAATTAGTATTTACGGCTTTCAAATCTCTGATCGCAACATTTCCGAATGATTTATTTTCAGCTAGATGTCTGGGCGACGAGCTGTGAGCAACAACCAGCACCAGCCACTTAAAGTATATGTGGCTGGGCTCCCCGCTACTTTATTCCTCAACGCAACGGCAACATCAAAGCTATCGACTGAAACACAGCGTCGAAAAGACATAAAAGGAGGGGGTGGTATTTAAATAAATTAAGAAACATAAGCAGGATATATAGAACAATGCAGACAAAGTTAAGTAAATAACCAGAATAGATGGGGGATATTGTATCAATAGCTGTTATAGTAATCCATGGCACACTCACTGCCACTGTTAGTGGTCTTGATCGTGTTATATGCAGATAATTGTATCCCTCCGTCGATATCTCTCACAGGAAACCTCCGTCACGCGCCCATGTCCCTGCCAGCAATGCACCCTGCCAATGTTTCTGCCTCTGCACCGAGTCAATGAATTCTCTCCCGCCAACGTGAATCCTTTCCTACCAACGGGCCGCAGGACGAGAAGCCACAGCGCCATCGAGCGACAGGCCACTGTAACTGCTGGCGGCTTCGTTGCGGGGGGCGCATCGCCAGAGTGGGGTGCCTGAGGTAAATTTGCTACAGGTACTCTAGGTACCTTGGTACTTGGTACTCAGGTACCTACTACCTCCTACCTCTAGGTACCTGTAGGTACCTAGGCGGGCGGAGAGTGGACAAGAGGTACCTCGGCGAGGACCTGCGGCGACTTGTACCTCCTCACAGGTAACGACCACAGAGCCCCCTCCAGCTTTCAACAAATGCGCCTTGCTGCAGATGCACCCTGCAGCCGGCTCGTTGTTGTCCATTTAATAACCATCAACACCCCCGCCTCTTGTGCTGCGCATCTTTCCCTTTTCAACGCTGTCCAACCCTTTTGCCGGCGTATCTCTTTGCGACACCTTGATACTAAAGGTCAAGACATCTTGCACGCGCCTCGTACGACTGGCCTGCTCTGGTTGCTGTCGTTGCTACCTCTTTAGCCCCCAAGTATCTTGCGGGTAGCTCTACCTCGACCCGGCGGCCGCCCACCAGCTAGCTGGCCCCAAAGCTTGTGCCAACTTACACCTCCGTCACCACCGTTTGCCACCTCCAGAAACCAAACCTTTCCACAACATTTCCGTCTTCAAAATGCCCGACATCGAGAAAAACCAAAACGTCCCCGACGCCGTTGATGATGCGCCCATCTCGCCCATCGAACGCAAGAACTCACTTGAGAACCACCTCATTCACCGTCCCGAACGCGCTGCATTAGTCGACAGTGCGTGCAACTTTTCCAGCCAGTCCCTGTTTTGCGGCCTCAACCCTTCCTTTCACTGCATGATCTTGTATCACTTCGAAAGACTAAACGAACTGACCCGTCATCTGTCACTACAGAGAACATCCTTCCCGCATCCAGCGCGGCGCCGGGTCTCCTCTCACAGCAAAAGGAAGTAAGTACAGCGTGACGGGGCACAATGGCGGCAACCTACATCATCTCTTTCCCGTCCGCATCATCGGTACAATGCGCCTACAGGCGAGCAACGAGGCGACCATATACGCTGGCGCGTGCATAATGGCGCCATGGCGTGGCAGCGCAGGTCCCGAGCAAACAAAGACTGTCCGGTAGATAGGTGCTGACAATGTTACGCAGCTCCAGAAGCATATGCTTGAAGATAAGCTCAACGACAAGATTTCGCATCGCCCGGCCCCCGAAACTCTTGTCAAAGATGGTGTCCTGCGCGAGGACCCCCGCTCGGCGGAGCAGCGATATGAGGAAGCCATCGAGGACGAATATGCGAAGCGCGAGGGCGGTGCTTAGAGAATTGTAGTAATCGGGAAATTTGCAGATCGAGTTTACTATTTGGCTTGTGGAATGTTGACACCAGAGGCTAAGACGGGTTGTGTCGAAATGAGACAGTACACGAACGCCCACCAATAACCCTCCACTATAACCCTCCACTCCAATTCAATAAAGATTAACAAGAAAAGGAAAAATAAACTTGAAAATAATACACAACCGATTCAACCTTGAGGAAATGAGAAAGGTCTTTTTTTTATTCACACTATTTACGTCAATGTCTGCATATGCCATGCAGCCACATGCAAGCTCCTCAGCTCCTAGCTACCGACACCCACGTTACGCCGGAGCGCATATTGCTCGAATTGGCTCTCTGCGGTATATGCAGTTGTTCTTTTTATTTTGATGACATTTTTGAAAAAAAAAAAGCCTCCGGAAGCCCCCCCAAAACTCCGAGAGCTGCGTTGTTCGTGTAGCCTCTGGTTGGACCTTGACTACATAGTAACCCCCAGTCAAGCCAAGAAGCAAAACCTTGCCTCAGGGAGCAAGGCAGGCATCAAGGGTTCTCTGAAGGAGCTTGAAACGGAACCGGGGGCGGGGAGCTAGCCGAACTCGATCATGTCCTATTATTTCCCGTTGATGAACATTGCCGATGCGGACCGGGTCGCGGCCATTGCGAATCGCGCCACTGGGAATGGTGCCAGTGACTGAGGGGCGCGCATGACGGCTGACACTTGGCAGGATGGGGGGTAACACAAATCACATTTATTTTATTTCATGACAGGTCGAATCTGCCGATTGAATCGACGTCGTGCAACGCTGTGGTGGACTGTGTTATAGTCTGTGTTATAGTCTGTCGGGTTGTGCAAGAATTGTATGTGGAATGTTAATTGTATTGAACAATAAAGAAATTCTGCGAAACACTAATCTATATGCGCTCTGGATTTCTGAAATTCTATTTTTTTTCCTTTCTCAAGTCTTTTTAATGTCTGTTCTGTCGTAGCCTCGGTCCTTCGTATAATAGTGTAAGCAAAGTAGTTTTGTTACCTCATGGTGCCGCTAATGATATATATCGACAAGTAAAGGAACGTAACACTCGAATAGTGGCCCAGAGTCAGCCAGGTTGTATAAGAGACTCGGGTGAAGCACTTCTGGGTGCAGAAGAGTATATCATTCGATTATTACCGCGCTGAAGGGACACGCGTGTAATACGGTGAGGGAGTGTCACTGGCGGTGCTGCCCGGGTGGTGGGCATTCATGACCGAGCTCCCTGCTGTGGTGGACGTAACTATGCCATTGATTAGCCCAGAGGGCTGGAGTATTACCAAAAGGGTAAGTAGTTACCGCTTGATGCCGTAGAGTAGGTGCTGGCGGATGAGGTAGGTCTTGGGACTCCGTAGGCAGGGTGCGAAGTAACCGGCGACGAGGAAGGCATCTTGGATAGTGTGTTTGAGTGGGTAGATGGGTTAATAAAGACTCGAGTGAGAAAGACAGTCAGAGAGCAAGTGCCGTCAATAATGATAGTAGCTGAGTTGGTAAAGAATGAGTTGGATTGAAAACCTCATGATGAACGAGGTCGAAGGGTCTTAAGTACAGAAGGAACTCCAAGAGAAGAACAAGCCAAGCAGGGATTACGGGGGGAGAAGGTCGCAAAAGGTATGACAAAAGTGTAAAACCAAGAGAGAACATTGCCGTCCCTTGCGGCAAGATAACCCGGAACCCTCCCCAGGCGAACCGGTATTCCAGGCATCACCGGGCCCGAGGCCAGATCGAGGACCCAATCGAAAGGCAGAAGCGCTCGAAAGCATCCAGCAGTGCCTACACGAGCCCCTCTAGTGTACCGGGCCACAAGGTCACAAATGGGTGACTCAGGCTTTCCATTCTCTCGGGCAGGCCGTTTTGTTTCTCCTGTGTAGGAGGAAGGAAGGGGGTGTGTGTGCATTGTGTGCGCGGTCGAGCATATCGAGTCCGGGGGGGGGGCGGACAGGCAAAAGGAAGGAGGAATCCACAGTGAAAACAGTACAAATTGGCCAACAATGGGAGAGGAAAAGATGAAAAAAAGATGAAGAGGCCAAGTACTGCATCACAATTGTAAAGTGGGAAACGGGGCAACAACGTTTAGCGGTAGTTGTTGCCTTTGAATGCTCAACGTGACTCACGACGGGGGGGGGGTGTCTGTTCATGGGAGTTGTCGGGAATTAAGGAGGCTGGGGCAAATAGAGAAACATTTCAACGAATGGTAGGAATTGATTGGACAGGGAATTCCGTTTTCCTTTTTTCCCATTGTAGGAAGGGTAAAAGCAACAAAGACGTTGGAAGAAACGAGACATTCGACGTGAATGTGGCTTATTAGAGACGTGGACTTGGCCAAAAAAGTCGATTGCCGCCTAAACCATGTGGAACCAAGACGGGGGAACAACGACGCCCCTGCAAGGCTACGATGTCGACTGGCTATTTTTCCCATTGAGCCTGCGCTAGTTAGTGTGGAATCGGCCGATATGAAAGGCGTGGCGTTTGGGGGAGGGGGGATCACAATTGTGAAGAGGAGAAATCGGGTTGAAGAAAGGCGGGATAAGGTGGTGGGAAGAGGGAGAGGTAATGTTGAAGACAAGAAAGCGAATAGGAGGATTCAATGTTGGACAACAGGGGAGGGACAATGCAGAAGAAGAAGAAGAAGAAAAGGCTTCCTCACTTGAGCAAATCAGCGTTTCGTCCCATCATCGCGCGCCTCGTTTCTCTCCAAACGTCATTAACTAGGGCGCCCTCATCATGCAGGCCATTGGTAGCCTCGCGCCATGGCAGGCGCAGGGTCATCGGCTGCAGCTCTTCTCCAAAGTGGTTTTTTTTTTTTTTTTTTTTAATTACGCACGAGGAATTCGTACGTTTGGGTGAGGCGGCAGTTCCCCCTCCCCCTGTCAGCTCCCCAAGCCACGACATCTTGGTTCAACGTGACCACTTTCTAGCAGCGCTCGCCGTTTAAGAAACACCCGAATTCCAGAGGCGCCCTCCCCGTTTGCCCCTTTCCCCGTTTCCTTTTCGTCAGTCAGTTTGCTGGGTTTCGCTGCCCGTTGCCCGCCGCCTTCCCCCCCCGGCCGGCCAGGGCAAGTGATGCTGGGTTCTCTTGTCTCCTCCGCCCCGCCACTCTTGTCCCGGAAGATGAGAAAAGGAAGGAAGAAAAAAAAAGGAAGCTGTTTGGCGCGCTTACCATGACCTTCACCAGCCCGTCATTGCAGCTTGTTAGGGCTACCTGATACGCCCCCCCCCCTTCTTCGACAAAGTGATGCAAGGGCCCGCTTGCAGCTACTTGTCGATCGGTGCCCGATTTCTATAACAAATGCGGGCGTGACGTGATATAGTGTTAAGCAAGGCGAAGAAAAAAAAAGAAGCTTTTTGTTTCCCGAACCCCAACAAGAGCGCATGAACAAGCGTGTGGCGTGAGCAGTCTTTTGCCCATTGAACACACCAGATTGGCTGGCTTGTTGATTGCTTGCTTGGAGGTTCTCGGTACGGATTGGGTGACACTGCATTGGCAAGGAGAGCCAAAAAAAGAAGGGCCTCTTTCGTTCCTTGAGAGATGGTCGCACCGCATCGAACGACTTGCATATGGCCAACCGATTTTCCTATTCCCCTTGTCCACCATCTCAGACAAAATCATCGAGGGCGTGGAGGGAGGGCTTGCAGATGCAAACCTCTTGTGCCTCGCGTTGTTGTGCGTGGTGACCAGTCATGCATCAGCCATCAGCCATAGTTGCACCGGCCTTTTCGGTTTCTCCCAGCCTCACGAACAAGCTGCATGCACGCCTCTTTGCACGCACCCTCGCGGAAACACTGCGCGGCCTTGTCTACGAGACGGGTTTTTTTTTTTTTTTTTTTTCTTTCTTTGACCCGCGCAACATTGTCGTGCTGTGCCACATCACCACGTAGCAGCCAGCTGCTCTTCCGCTCTTCATTTTGCTTCTGGTGAATGATGGATTTGACAGTTGGCTGTGAGGCGCAGTTTAGGCAATGGGGTACGGCAGCCTATAGGTGAGTTGTCGCTAAAACGTATTTTACATACTTATATCAGGGTTTACGCACTAGGCACATACTAAGAGCGTATATAATTATTTTTAGTATATTAATATCTATATTTATATAATATAGAATATAATTTAAGGCTATATATACTATTTACTAGTAAAATTATATTTTATAAATCTATAACTCTTTTTATTATATTAATTACTATTATAAATATAATATTACTAGTTATTATAGCTTTTATAGTTTAGCTTAATAATATTAAAAAGTTAATAGTTTAAATATTTATAAAGGCTAATATTCTTATAAATAAATAACTTAATACTATATATAAATAGTCTATACTTATATACTTATTTTAATTAAATTTAATACTAATATATAGTTATAAATAAGGTTAATTATTAAATTTATTATATATTTAGAATATTAAGGTAATAATTATCTATATTTATAGTAAAGAATATAAAATAGCTTACTTAAAGTATTAAAATTATAATTATATCTTTATTAACTATATCTAGCTTTAAAGGCTAGCTAGGAATATATATATAAACTATATATATTTCTTTTAAGTATATTAATACTTCTTAAGAGGTATTATATAATACTATTTATATATATTATTAACTAATAATAATTATAACTAAATTATACTTTTTTATTATATAAAAAGATATACTAAATATAATAAGTATATATAATATTATATAAGTATAATAATAATAAATTATTATAGTATTTATTAAATAAGTAAAGATTTAAGTAAAATATAGCTAAATATATATTTAAGTATATTTACTAATACTTTATTAAATATTATAGTTAGATATAAGTAATAATAGTTTATATATAAAAGAAAAAACTTTATATAACCTTTTTTTTTTAATTAATATTAATACTTATTATAATAAAGAAATATTACTTAAAGATAAGTATATAGTATTAAAAGTTAATATAATAATATCTAGATTAAGATATATATCTTTACTACTACTTAATATTATATTTATTTATATAAGAATTACTATTACCTATAGAAGAAACTATTTAAAAGCCTTTTCTAAGTAATTATAATATTTTAAATATAAAGTTAACTATAATTAATAATAAAAACCTTATTATATTTAACTTAATAAATAATATAGATATACCTTTAACTTAAGTTATACTTTAAAGCCTTTTTATTAATAGTTAGGTTATAATATAAAGTATTATTTTAAATAGTATATAAGTAAAATAAGCTAATTCTATTATAATTTAACTAAAAATAAATAATAAAGGTATTATATTTATATTTTAGCTATTTAATACTATAATTAAAAATAAATATATTAAAAATATTCTAATACCTTAGATAATATTTAGTCTAAACTATATTAGTAAATATATATTATAGTAATATACTTATTTATAGTTTAAATACTAGTTATATAGAGATATACTATTATTAATTATATTAAATAGTATTAATCTTATATTATTAGTATTACTAGATAAAGAGTAAGAAGTTAAGGCTATAATTATTTTAAAATCCCTTTTAAGTATTATTAATTACTATACTAGTATTTAGTAAATAATAATAATTAAAAGGCTTTTAATAGTATTTAGGTATAATTAATTAGATAAAAAGATTATAATTAATCTTTTAATAATATATCTAGATAATTAAAAGTAATTAATAATAGGTTTATATATAATAAAGAGGGTTTATACTAATTTATAAGCTTTATCCTATAAAATAAAACTATTAATAAAGAAAGTAATAACTTAAAGGCTAAATATATTAGATTTAAAGCTTAATATTAAATAAAAGATTATATAAACTCTCTTTATTACTAGTAATTTACCTAGCTTAGTAAAGCTTATAAATAAAGTAGCTAATAAGATAGAAAGTAATACTACTAATATTATTATATAAAAGGATATACTAGTAATACTAAAGAATAAAAGGGTTTTTTTAATTTATATAAAGAAGTAAATATTAAAAGGATAAATATTATATACTATTATTTATTTTATATTTTATATTTTAAATATAAAAATAAAAAAAAAAGATAAAAATAAAAAAAATAAAAAAAAGGGGTTATTTCCTTATAATAAGCTCTTAGATTATATTAATAATAATATCTTTATATAATAATAATTTATTAAGCCTTATATAAGTATTAGTAACTAGCTTTAATAAGGCTAATCTAGGAAGAGTTCCTTTAGCTTAATACTAATTAAGTTACTTATATAAGTATAAGTAAATAAGAAAAAAAGGTATTTCTAGGTTACCTACCTCTAATAGACTATTAAACTTATACTAAATAATCCTATTATAAATCTAGTATATAATTTATAGTAAATATATATTAATAGTATTATTTAATATCTTAAAGATAAAGTTTAATACTTCTATATTATTAATAGGTAATAAGAATTTATAATTTAGTTTAGTATTATAGCTAAGGTTATAATATAAAATATTTAGTTAATTAGTAATTTTACCTTTTTATATATATATATAATAGATATTCTATTTATATATAAAAGTATAAAAGTCTTTTTAAATTAATAGTATATATAAATAGAAAATAATAATCTTATTTATAAGATTATTAATAAGGAATAAGCTATAGTTATTAAGTATAAAGAAATATATCTAAATAATTATATTAATATATATATCTATAGTTATTAATAATTACTTACTTACTAGTATTTAATAAGAATACTTAGGAAATACTACTATCCTTTAATATATATATTATAAATACTTTAGTTATATAACTATACTTTTATAAATATAAACTCCTAAGATATTCCTTATAGCTTCTAAAAGTATTATAACTTATTAATATTATTATAAGTTTAATATTATACTAGTATATTATTTTAAAAAAGAAACTAGTATAGCCTAGTAATAATAGTAGTCTTACTACTATAATTAGATTATAATTAGGTAGGTATTATCTTTTATATATTTAATAAGGTAATATATTACTATATAATACTTTATAAAGTTATTATAGAAATACTAATATAGAACTAAGTAATATAATATAAATATATATTAATTCCTATATAAATCTTAAACCCCTATAGCTATAGCTTTTTATAGCTATTAATAGACTAAATCTAATTAAGACTATAGGTTTTAAAGTCTATATATAGTATTTCTACCTATTTCTAATAATCTTAAAGGTTTTTAGAGAATACCTTATAATAAACCTTATATAAAATATTATAGCTAATATTAATACTAGCCTTATATATATATACTATAAAGAATATTTAGCTATTATTAATTATATACTACTTAATAGTAAAATTATTCTAGAGATATACTTATATCTACTCTTATATAATATCTTAATATATAATATCTTATTATTAGTATATATTTTATTAGTAGTAGATTAAGCTAATTTAAAATAGTAATAATTAGAAACCTTTATTAAGTAGTTACTTATAAATATTAAAATTAATAAGGTTTTAAGTAAAATATAATATTTAGATATATTTAGTAAGTTTATCTTAGTTATTTATCTATACTTATAAGTAAATATAGTTAGTTTATAAAAAGTATTATAATATTTAAGGGTAAATATTATAGCTATAGTTATCTTATAAG